ATTTGAGTTGGAATGAGTACGAAGGAATACTTCCTTCATGTGTCGCAAACATGACATCTCTTAGATTGATTGAGCTCTCTAACAACAAGTTCACCGGAAATATTGCCTCATCTCCACTTTCTAAACTCACATCACTTGAATATCTCTCCCTTTCAAGTAATAACTTTCAAGTTCCAGTTTCTTTCAAGGCGTTCTTTAATCATTCAAACTTCAAGTTTATATTTTTGAACGACAATGAAATAATAAATGAAAAGGAGTCGGGAAATTCGGTTCCCAGTTTTCAACTGGAGGTTTTTAGTATGTCAAATTCTAGTGGCCTTCAAACACTACCCAACTTCTTTTACTATCAATCCAACTTGAAATTTCTCATTCTCGACAAGAACAACATAGGAGGGAATTTTCCAACTTGGTTGTTAGAGAACAACACAAAACTTAGGGGACTTCACCTGAGGGATAATGCTTTCACAGGAACTCTCAAGTTGCCAACAAGCACCAATCCCAACATGGAGATTTTTGATGTATCTAATAATAAGTTAAATGGACATATTCCAACTAATATAACTTCACTTTTTCCAAATTTGGATCAATTAAACATGTCGACAAATATGTTTGATGGGCGTGTACCTTCTAGTTTTGGTGACTTAAAATCTATTAGTTATTTAGACTTGTCTAATAATAACTTGTCAGGCACAATACCTCAAGAATTAGTTATGGGATGCTCTTCTCTGTTTTTTCTCAAATTATCAGATAATAAAATGCAAGGACAAATATTTCCAGAATCTACCAACCTACTAAGCTTGGAATTTTTATATCTAGATAGCAATGAGTTCTCGGGCACCATTCCAAGTAGCTTGTTTGTCAGCCCTCTAAGGTTTTTAGACATTAGTAACAACAGTTTGTCTGGCAGAATTCCCACATCATTGGGTAATATGACAATGTTGAGTCACGTTTCTATGTCTATTAACCAACTTGAGGGTCCAATCCCGGTCGAAATTTGCAATCTCGATAATCTTCTCCTCTTAGATTTATCTGAGAACAAGTTAAGTGGTTCAGTCCCATCTTGCTTCAATCCATCGGATATAAGACATGTCTATCTAAACAATAACCAATTGGAAGGTGAGCTTACATATGCATTTTACAATAGCTCTTCTATGGTGTTACTGGATCTTAGAGAGAATAAGTTCACTGGAAGTATCCCTCAATGGATCGGCACTCTATCAAGCATGCGCATTATTCTTCTTGGAGGTAACCATTTTGAAGGCACAATCCCTCACCCATTTTGTGAGATGAACATACTAAGCATGATAGACCTTTCTTTTAATTTTCTTGTCGGTCAAATTCCGCGCTGCTTTGGT